AGCTCTTATATATACCCTTGTTGTTGTTGTTATGTGCCATCACGTCGGACCCAACTCATAATGACTCCACCTTGGGTTTCTGAGGCAGTATCACTACAGAAGTAGATTGTTCAACCTTCCTTTTGAGGAGTGGCTAGTGGGTTTGAACCTCCAGCCTTTTGGTTAGCAGTCAAATGCCTTAGGCACTACACTACCAGAGCTCCTATATATACCCTTAGACAAAGAAATATGCAGTCCACTTCATGACAGCACAGCTGATACACATTTGAACAAGGCACTCTTGGTGAGCCCTTCGTAGCACACCACTTGTCCATGTTCTTGGCAGTTGCCAGCGTTGGTAAGTGGATTGTTTCTCCAGATAATGATAACCTGTGAGGACATGGGACAGTAGACCTTAAGAAGGTGGCAGAGCAGTGGAGACATGAATGCCATGGCTGAGAGCACCCCTCCTCATGCAAGGCCATCCTTCCACTTCTAGAAGCTGTTTTGTCAAAACCAGGAGGTGGTGCCTTCACTCAGCAAGTCTCTAGCCAAATGTCTCTTTTCTTGCATATGCTGACACACTGCTGTGGAGTCGATTGGACTCATAGCGACTCCTCCTTGGGTTTCCAAGGCGGTATCACTACAGAAGTAGATTGCCCAATCTTCCTTCTAAGGAGTGGCTGGTGGGTTTGAACCACCAGCCTCTTATTAGCAGTCAAGTGCCTTAGGCACTATGCCACCAGAGCTAGGAACAGCTTAATGATTTCATGCAGCTTGTGGCTTCACTAGGACCTTTGGTGATGTGATGATTAAGGCATTTGGCTACTAACCAAAAGTTTGGTGGTTTGAACTCACCAGCTGCTCTGCGGAAGAAAGATGAGGCAGTCTGCTTCCCCATGGGGGTTGTTGTGAGTTGGAATCAACTCCATGGCAGTGAGTTTGACTTTTGATTTGGTGGCTTCACTGGAGTTTTTGCTTCAGCTATAGTTAACAGCAGAGCTTTGGCTGTATAGCAGATACTACACTGTAACTTGTATTAAGTTAACCAAACCAAACCAACTCACTGCCACTGAATCAATTCCAACTCACAGCGACTCCCATTGGATTTCCGACGCTGTAAATCTTTATAGAAGTAGCTTGCCCCATCTTCCTTTTGTGGAGCAGCTGGTGGGTTTGAACCGTTGACCTTCTGGTTAGCAGCCAAATGCCTTATCCACTGTGCCATCAGAGCTCCTTTGTGGTAAGTTACACCTTATTTAAAAGTTTCTTGACTGCTCGTGCTACTGAGATCTAGAAATCAAAGTAAAAGTGAACATTTAAGAAATGTGTAGACAGCCCTGTGAGGTAAAACAGAACAACAAAAAAAACCTCAGAGCCATTGAGTCAATTCCAACTCATAGTGACCCTGTAGGACAGGGTAGAACTGCCTCATAGGGTTTCTAAGGCTGTACATCTTTATGGAAGTAGACTTACCTCATCTTTCTCCCTTGGAGTGGCTGCTTGAGTTCTAACTGCTCACCTTTGGTTAGCAGCCTGATGATTTAACCACAGGACCACCAGAGCTTCTTGCTAGCTAAAGTATTTTTTTTTTTTTTAATTTAAGAACTGTTTTGTGCTCAATTTTTGGTTTCAATCTAATGTAGTTTAAACATTGTAATAAAATAACACCTGAAGCTCCTTCCCCTGTTGATTGTTGTCCACTGAATCCTTGCAATTCAAATAATACAAAATTTGTATCCTTTATAGGAGGGGACCTACAACTCCCCAGATTTCACATTGTCATTTCAGAGCAATAGATTAGATTGTCTTCTAATCCAGAATCACTTGTTAATTCACCTGGTTCTTTGCATTAAACTGGATTACCCACTGTAAATGGTTGGTTTTTTTTTTCACCTTTAAAATGTTAAATTATTTTTGTATACCTTGCCTGTTAAACTAGATTGTGACAGTTTGAGTGTCATACCCTTCATTTATAATATTTGTGATTTAGGTCACAGTGTATTAGCCAAAGAAGATGATTTTAATTTGAGAAAAACAGACAGGTTCTGTTATTAGATTTTGTGTTGTGAGGGGTGTAAAAATACCTAATACCAGGGACTTGTGAGGTTGAATTTAACTATTTCTTGATCTTATTTTTTATTTTACTATGGCCCCGACAGGAGCTCTGGTAGCATAGTGCCTAAGGTATTTGACTGCTAACCTGAAGGCTGGCGGTTCAAACCCATCAGCCACTCTTGGCAAGGAAGATTGGGCAATCTACTTCCGTAGTGATACCACCTCGGAAACCCAAGGAGGGGTCGCTATGAGTCGGATCTGACTCAACGGCAGTGAGGTTTTTTTTTTTATTGTATGGCCATGACTCGCTAAGGATTTTTGATACACGCAAGAGTGGGAGAGGGATGATTGCTTTATTCTAAGCAATGCTTAACATTTAATCATTTAAAAACCTTGCAGAATTTCTAGAATATAATGTTAAGTGTCTCTTAAGTGACTAGTTTCTATAGTAGAGTTAAACTAAATTTAAAATAATCCTGAGCGTATATATGTGTATGTACGTATTCAAGCAATTCATTAGAAACCCTCCGCATTTCCCATGCGTTGACTGACCGTTGTCTGTGGAAAACCAGAGCCTGGATGCCAAATGAAAGAGCCGTATTGGAGATGGGAAATTCTTTTAGACTTGGGATAACAGGACAGTAAGTTGTTTCTTGTTGGTCTGACTCCCTCAGAACTAGAAATGTGGATCCCGGTAGAGCTCGTGTTAGATTTGGTGAGGCTGTGTCTCCTTTAATTGTAGAAGTAATGAGTTCATTCTTACTTATGGAAAAAGACTATTGAGGGCTAGCCCTAGCATGGCAAGTGAGAAACACAGCAATATCTTTACTTTGCCAATTGCAATTTATGGGTGTAAATGACTACCACCTCTGTCCAAGGAGGTCTGAGGTGCTGTCCTTTTAGCCGTACTGGTAGATGGCCTTTAGCATGCTGTGTGTACTATCAGGGATGGCCGTGTCATGGTGCCATGGTAGCAGCCTTGGATGTTGGGAAGTGAAATGGAGAATCTGGTTCTTCTCCCCTATTTTATACACATACACATACCACATCACTATCAACACCACTACCGTCTTTGCTCCCCCGCTTAATACTTGTGTTGTTGTTGTTGTTGTTGTTGTTATGTGCCGTTGAGTCGGACCTGACTCATAGCGACCCCTCCTTGGATTTCCGAGGCAGTATCACTACGGAAGTAGATTGCCCCATCTTCCTTCCGAGGAGTGGCTTGTATAATACCTTAGTGCAAAGTGTCAAAATGTCAGCGAGGCTCTCAATAAACTATAGAAATTATGGTTCTCATGCTGCATGATTGAGCAATAGCAATACTATTGTCTCAATGTCAATATGGATCTGTCTGATCTTGCCTGAAACATTAGCTGAACAAGTTTAGGCTCAGGCAGGACTTAGAGTCTACTATTCATTTCTCAAGAGCAGGTTCTTACTCACACATACCCTTTGCTTTTAGTCCTTTTCTTTCTTCTAAGTTTGTTTTCTAGCGTTCTTTAATTTCCATTTTTTAATTTGTTCATTTCTGATATTTTAAAAGTGTTCTAGCATTGAACAGACAGGCTCCTTTGGTTGTGGATATATGGAGTGTGGGATTGACATTTTAAAAAAGCCTCACCTAGTAATTGCACCTTAGTGTGTGTTTATACACGGTCTGACAGTGTTTCTAGATAGAATTAGAGGTAGCAGCTACAGATTTATCAGGGATTCCTTTTGCAGGAACCGTTTGCCACTGAGTCAACTCCAGTTGAAAGTGACCCTGTAACATAGAACTGCTCCATAATGTTTTTAAGACTGTATCTTCAGGGAAGCAGACCACTATGTCTTCCTTCTCTGGAGTAGCTGGCGGGTTTGAGTCACCAGCACACACTTAACCACTGTGCCACCAGGGTTCTTTTTTGCAGGATCTTCAAAAGCCAACTAGCATTTACTTTTTTTGAGCCTTTCTCCTTACTAGCCTCATCTGCTCATTTTGATCTTGACCTTAGAATTGTCTTAATTTTTAAAGTTTTGATGAATTTTGTGAGCAAGTACAAGTCTGTCTCTTTAAATCTATGTTTAGTCATATAGCTAAGAGTCATTAAAAAATTTTTTTAGAAAGTTTTCACTTTAAAGAAATTTTAAATACAGTGATGTCATTTAGTTTTTACGGAAGAGCTTGAGTCCCTCTAGTGTGCAGGGTATAATTCACCTTCTAAGCTTGAGATAGAAAAAAAGATGGCAATCTTGTTTAATTGGAACTACCTTCAAATCCAGTGTTTTCTTCAGAATTGGTATCCCCCTCTCCCCACCTGAGAGGAAGTGCTTAGCCAGGTAGCCACTGGTTTGATCCCAACATTAACCAAGATTCAGCAGACCTCATCTTTAGTCCATGTGATCTTATTGTCCCTGGTCATTCCAAGCTTGTGATGTCACAAGCTGTGGTTCACTGGCTGCTTTATTTCAAGCCTCAGCAAGTACAAATTCAAACTACGAGTTAGCATGTCAGCCCTTCCAGTTCTCAATGGAAAAAGAGTGCAGTGCCCCAGGGTCCTTGAGTTGCCATGCAATAAATAATTGTATAGGCTTCCTTTGAGCAAAACAGGTAGAATAGGATATTTAGCAATTGGGGGAGTGGTATACTGATAGCCAGGACAGAGGCAGTATGGCATGGTAGAAAAAACTTGGGTTTAGGGTTCAAATTTCTAACTCTTGTTACTAGCTGTGTGACCTTGAGCTCTTAACATAGTTGCTCTGTATCTTAGTTTTCCCATCTGTAGAACGGGGAGGTGGAAAACCTAACTTGCAGAGTGATTCTAAATATTGAAGATAACATGAGCAAAGACCTTTGCATTTTGAGTGTTCTATGATTGGTAAAAGTTACATCATAGAAATTTCCCTACCTGAGTCCATTATGATACATGAGATTTAATGATTTCTGTAACTTTCCTCTCTTTTCCCATGCCTTCTTTTTCTTTCAGTCGCCACCAAGTAAACGAAGAAAATTAGAGAAGCCAAGAAAACCCATTACATTTGTAGTGTTGGAGTCTGTGATGAAGGAGTTATCCCTCAAAGCATCGTCTTTGGGTTCTGAGACAGCAGAAGGCATAGTAGTTGTGACGACATGGATTGAAAAAATTCTCACTGACCTGAAGGTATCTTGTTAAGGATATTGAAGAAGTACTTATAATACTCTTTATTTTTTCTTTTCTTCTTTTTTAAAAAAAGAATTTGAAGAAGAGAAGGAAAAAATTATTTCCTATAAAATTCTGTTTTTTCTCCAAATAGGTCCAGCATAAGCGAGTTCCCTGTGGAAAGGAGGAAGTTAGCCTTTTCCTAACAGCCATAGAAAATTCCTGGATTCATTTAAGGAGAAAGAAAAGAGAACGAGTGAGACAATTGAGAGAAGTTCCCCGAGCTCCTGAGGGTGTCATCCAAGCCTTGGAAGAGAAAAAGTCCACCCCTAAAGAATCTGGCAATAGCCACGATTTGGCCCAGGGCCCCCTGGAGAGTGCCACATGCAGGCCTGCTGCACAGGAAGGGGAGTGTGTCACTGTTGAGGGCCCAAACCAGCCTTCCCTTTCCCAAGAAGAAAACCCAGAGTACATGGAAGATGAAAGGAGTGAGGAAAAGGGAGGGACAGATGTTTTAGAAAGTTGTAAAGGCACTAGCAATGGACCCCAGGACCGAGAGGCATCAGAGCAGTTCAGTAACCCAGTGGCTGGAAAAGGGAAACATCTCCAAGGAGTGGCTGGACATTATCTGTTTAAGTGTTTGATAAACGTTAAGAAGGAGGTAGATGATGCATTAGTTGAAATGCATTGGGTCGAGGGCCAGAACAGGGATTTGATGAATCAGCTTTGTACCTATATACGCAACCAAATTTTCAGACTTGTTGCTAGTTAACTCCAAACTTCTTGCATAGTTGGTGAAAGTATCTGTAAAAGCAGCTTGCTTTGGAGTGGCCAGGAGGATGCCAGGAGGAATTTGGCCATTAGTATCATTATGCAGAGTACTCTAAAAACAGAAACAACTTAATCCATTTTTAAGTACCCCCCCTTTTTTTTTCCCCCTAAAGTTACAGGGAGTTGTATTATGGTCATTCAGTGGGAAGAATTGTGCTTAGTAGCAATAACAAAAAGCCATTGGTAAATTCATGAGGGATTTAAACCTAACTTAAGCTGGTCACCTCAGTTTAGACTGGTTCTCTGAGACCAAGGGATTGTTTCTGGGCTCTAGTCTCTCCGCCACCAAGGTTGCTTCATGAGGAAGGATGACTCTTCCTCTCATTTTTTTCCAGATAGTTCACCAGGGCAAGATAGGCCCTGGTGCCCTCTTCTAGAGTCACCTTCAAGATGTACTCATTCTGGGTACATAGAATTATCCCTGCCTCACACCTGAGACAGGAACTGGCCTGATGTTAGGTGGTGGGGGAGTCAGGGAGAGAAACTGAGTCATGCCAGGAGGAAGAGCGGATCTGGGAGCACCTGTGGAAAGTCACATGCACACCTGTTTCAATGGTGCTTGTTGCAGAAACAGAGTTAGGGAAGCAAAACACCCAGTTGTGACTGAGACACGACAGAATCCAGCTATACTCCTACCTCCAGTCATTTTGTAGTGATTTTACTACTTTATGCTTTTCATTTGTTTTGACATTTGATGTGGAGATTTGTTTTTGTTTTTAATATAAGACTGTTCAGAATTGAAAACCATCAAGCCTACTTGAATCCTGGGGTTGGGGGGATTTTTTTTTTTTTTTTTTTTTTTGGCTTTGGGTGGGTAAGTGGTTTTTGATAAAAATAAGAACTGGAAGAAGATAGTATGCACAGCACTTAACTTTGGAAAATCACATCTCTTGGCAGATAAGTTGTTGCTTACCACGTACAACTTTTTGTGGATTCATGTATAATCGCTTTGTGTTTACCTGCTAGCATTGGAGATTTCTGAGGCCAGAGTAACCATGTTTCCAAATATGTTTCTAATTGGAATGGAATGCCTCTGGAAAAGGAGTCTCTTTTTTTGTTCTTCTGGTGTGGCAGTTACCCTCTGCTGTGTTTAACTTTCACAGCTTGATTATTACACCAGCAGCCTAGGGTTCTGTTTAGACTAAAATGTTTGAGTATGGTGCCAGGCTCCTTGCCACCTACAACCAAGACTGTGTGACTGAGTAGTTAAATCACCCCTTTGAGTAGTGGCTATTGGTTAGGACAGAAGGTTGATGACCTTGATATATCTTGGCAGCAGTAGATCAGACCCTCAGCAAAGAGACAGGAAATGAAAATAGGACTGTATGCCTCCTTGTGATAGTGGAGTCAGAGCTGTGGAAAAGAACATATTGACCAGTGCTTTTGTTTTTGAATATTTTGTTGTAGTTTGGGTGAAAGTTTACAAAGCAAATTCGTTTCCCATTCAACAATTTGTACACATTTTGTTTTGTGACAGTCCCCTTGATGTAACAACACACTTCCCTCTTCCTCCCTGGGTTCCTTGTTTCCATTTGCCCATCTTCCCTACCCCTTCCTGTCTTCTGAACATTGTTATGGGCACATGTTGCCCTTTTGGTCTCTTACGGTTGATTGTTCTGAGAATCATAGGTATTACTGTTCACTTTGTAGGCCTATTGGTTGGTTGGCTGAAAGGTTAACCAGTGTTCTTAACCCAACTCATGGACCCCTAGAGAATCCATAAACCTGTAATTTCTAAAAGTTCTGTGGGTATATGTGTTTTTTTTTTTTTTTTTTTTTTAAGGGGTGGGACTTTTTGCTTGGGAAGAGGGTCCTGATTTATGGACAGGACTCAGTAACCCACGGAGGATTGTTGTTGTTATGTGCTGTTGAGTCGGCCCCGACTCATAGTGATCCCTCCTTGGGTTTCCGAGGCAATATCACTACGGAAGTAGATTGCCCCATCTTCCTTCCGAGAAATGGTTGGTGGGTTTGAACCGCCAGCCTTCTGGTTAGCAGTCAAATGCCTTAGGCACTATGCTACCAGAGCTCCCCACTGAGTATTAAGAACTAGTATTGTCCTTCAGCTCCTCATTTGATAGGATGAGGAGACCAATGCCCAGGGTCACACAGCCAAGATTTAATTCAGGGCCTCTGGTCCAGTAATTTTCTGCCATCCCTACCCATACCATACATACTGCTGTGCTGATGACTATCACATTTGAATAATACACAACTGCTCAAATCTAGTTTTCTTGATAAAATTTTAGGATAGCGTTAAGTGGCAACTATTCATTCAACAAGTGATCAGTAAGTCTTATTTTTGCTTGTTTGTTTCATTATATAAATATCACATGCTCATTAAAGAAGATTTGGAAAAATGAAATTAGGAAACAACAAAATCAGCTCTAATCTCAGCCTTCTCTAACAAAACCAGTTTTGATATTTTAGTGTGTTTCCTGCCATTTCTCTTTGTATAGATGAGATTGTGTGAGTGTGTGGGTTTAATGTAACACTTTTTTTTCCATTTAATTCTTGTATTTTTTTCCATGTTATAACAGTGGTCTATTTATTTATACTCCTTGCACTGTTGAAAGTGAATTTCAGGCACAGTGTTGGCAATTGTTTAAGTCTACTTAGGGGGTCGCAGAGAATACTCTGTAGCTGGAGGCATGTGGTCTGTGTCTATATGTGCTTCATAGCCCCAGGTTTAAGGCATGGTGCTGTGGAGGTGATTTTATAGGTGTTAAGCTAATGCTGTGAGGATTTTAAAAAAATAGTAATAAAATTGTGGCTGGGGGAGCTGCTGCAGTATTAGAAGTACTAGAGCTGTGAGTGCCTTCTCTGGGTGTGTTCATTTCCTTCTCTGAGAAGAATGTGTGTTTCTTGATGTAGACTGTTGGATGAGAGAGCATTGAAAACATTTTTAGAGGACATCTAGAAATGGTCTTGGTTATGCACATACTTTATAGTTGAGTGATAGCATACATCTTTGGTAGTGGGGACAAGGAAGTTTTCTTTACTGACCCATGTATCATAATGTTGGGTGATACTTTCCTTTGGCGTCTGGAGATCAATTCATGTTGGTGGATTGGTATGAAATGAAATCTCTTTGGTGTTACCTTAAATCTGTTCTGATCCCTGGCACTAGCTTCTGATCTCTTGATAATGAAAGTGGGAACAGAAGCAGAGCTTGTTTTCTGAGGGGACTAAAGCTGTTTTTGTTCTTTGGAATCGGCTGTGCTTCAACAGTTTGGTTCCTTCACCCCCACAGCCTTGCCAGGCTGTTCACATACCAGTGCATTGCTGCCCATCCTTGCAGACTGGCCTCGGTGTCGGAGTGCCCAGTGTCTGAAGGATTCTGGTTGATGTGTTTAGTGTGTATGTATATGTGTGTGTATTTAAATATATATTTTAAATGTATATATTAAATGTATACAGAGCTTACCGTGAGTACTCTAACTTCTAAGCTCTGATGATAGTAAAACTTTTAGTTGTGGAAAAGATGGAGAAAGCTGTGGTGGAACTGAGGCCTCCTAAGAGAAAAGGAGTGAATAAATTCTTGACTAGCCTCAAGGAGCCCTTATCTTCCTGCCAACACAGCATTTTCCTCTCTAGCCACACGGGGGCATCTTTGGCCTTTATTAACCACCTAAGTTAACTGTGGGAATGGATAAAATTGGCTTTGGTATTTTCTTGAGTTATCCAGTTGCCACCCAGTTAAGTTTTTTTTTTTTTTAATGTAAAAAAGTAAAATTTTCACAAAAAAGTTAGCAAAATAAAAGTAGAATAGAAAAACCACCACCCATGGTCTTTTAATGTAGGTGGTGGTGTTTTTTTGGCACTATATCACATAATGTCTCGCTGCTATTCATAAGGTTTTCAGTGGCCGTTTTTTTCTGAAGTGAACCGCTACATCTTCTTCCGAGTCTGTCTTAGTCTGGAAGCTCCACTGAAGCCTGCCCACCATGGGTGACCCTGCTGATGTTTGAAATACCAGTGGCATAGCCTCCAGCCTCACAGCAACATGCAAGCCGCCACAGTATGACAAAATGACAGATGAGACATCAGAGTCTTTTTTATCTAGGCATAATCCCTTTCAATCTTTATGTTTCTTTATGGTCCCAGGTAACTGTTGTTTTTCTTTTCATCTATCCTGCTGATTTAAAATGTATCCAGGTTGGTTCAGTCCTTTGGATAAACTTTTTATGGTAGCTGGTTAATGGGAGTACTGTTGGGGGGGAGGATCTTTTTTGATCTCCAAATAGTAACTTTTCAAAAGCCCTTTGTGTGAGGAGGGAGCTCTGGTAGCGTAGTGCCTAAGGCACTTGACTGCTAACCAGAAGGCTGGCGGTTCAAACCCACCAGCCACTCATTGGAAGGAAGATGGGGCAGTCTACTTCTGTAGTGATTCTGCCTTGGAAACCCAAGGAGGGGTCGCTATGAGTCGGGTCCGAATAGATGGCACATTACAACAACAACAAGTGTGAGGAAGTAATATTGAGGAAAGAAAGTGGTTTCAATGATCTTTTATCAGTTCTTGTTTTTGGTTCATGGTTGACTGGCTGACTAATGCACAAAACGTTGTTTACATCACACGTTGGCGAGAGGTTCTGTGTTGTGTACATGTGGCTTAGCTGGGTCTTGTTTCCTTCCAGGGGTGTTTCTGCGCAGAACAGGTATATTCCTAACTTTGAGGTCCATTGTGGTCAAGAAGTTCCGTCTGTTCTTATTTCTTTGGCACAGGATCAGACATGAGTGGCCAGCCCCATAGATAAACACATAAGGAGGAAAAATGAAGTCAGGAGTCCTCTGGGGGAGGGAAAGTCTCAAAAGTGCAACAGTTGCCCAGACATCCGGGGTGCCCCTGGGAAAGGGACGAGACCACACCACCTTTTGGAGGAAGTTGGTGCTCTGGAGATGTCTTTTGCTGAATGGGCACCAAAACCCCACTGCCATCAA